GTCGGCCAAGCTAGTGGGCAGCAAGATCACGCCCTGACGATGTAAACACTGAAGCGCAGTTTGAACCAATGCGACACACAGTTTGCGCGGGTATTGCGCCTCGAGGCTGACGGCCGACACGGTTTTGCCAGAGTCATCAAAAGCAAAACCCCATGGTGCGTGCGGATGGCTTTTGTCGCACTCGATATCCATCTGTTCGATCTCAGCAAAATTGGCTACGATACGAGACCATTTGTCTCGCGATCCGCCCAACATGCAAACTTGGAAGTTGGTGAAATAAAGCGGAAACTCCTTAAGGAGGCGCAGGAAATAATCCGTAACCCAGAAAAAACTGCTTCGAGGATTCTCCAAGGTCACTAGCAGTCCTCTTCTACATGCTTTTGCAAAAACCGTACAACTATAGTGAAAAAGATCGTTCGCAAGCAGAACGCGAGTCAACTCAATCCCACTCAAGTCTAAAAGGCCGTGTGGGAAATCATTCGATCTCAGTGGTCTGGGAGCTGACGGTCCACAACGGATGTCTCTGGCTGTTCCACAAGCAGGAGCGAGATGAACCCACACCAGAAGTGGAGACATTAGCCAAGCATCAACCAATTCTTTGCCTTCACGGGTGGTCAAATCAATCTGTACAACGCTGGCACGCGCGCCCTGTTTGCGGCTCTTGGCAACAGCAATTGAGTTTTTCATGCCGAAGTGTTTTGCCACTGAAGTCAGGACTGCACCACCTGCAAAAAGCTCAATCATGAAACATTGCTCTATGTGTAAATTCTTCCATGCACGCAACTGGTGTGCCAGAACTGGCTCTCGAAAAGACTCCTTAGGAGGCAAATCAAAAGGCTCACGTCGCTCCACACACCTCTGTTCTCACTTAGGATGTTCTTGGAGTGAATGGGGCAACTGGCACTTTGGCTCACAACAAACATGCCACCCTCGGCGACACCTCTGCCCTGCGGTGACACCCTTCTCGGAACAGCCGGAAGAACTGTTGAAAGCAAAACAGATGGGATCTCCCTGCGCAGTCCGGTGATATTTGCCAATAAGTTCTTTCGGCATTGGCGGTGCACCCTTTCCATTTATGCCTTCTTGGTTTTTCCTTTCCCCTTGCCTTTGCCTTTACTTGCGCGAAAATCAGCATAAGGAGAGGACCTCCAGTACGAATCACGCTCATGGGACTCGTGCTTCTGCTTGGCAATTGGTGCTAAAAACAAAGTAATGTGGGGGTCATGCCTCAAAGCAAGGAGTGCAACACCGAGGGGATAACTACCATCATTTGCCTGTCGAACCTGCTGCTGAGTGGATGCAAGACGGCTCCACGCCGCCTTGTCGCATTGCAAGATCTGTGCCAACTGTGGTTTCATGTATCCGGGAGGGACCTCTCTGTGGAGCGACTCAAAAAGGAAGGTTGACCAGGCAGTGTGCTGGTCGTGTGACATCAGCCTTGCGAACTCGAAGGCAATTCCTCGTCGGACGAGGGCATAATGTAGCTTGATCTCGGTGTCAGTCGGACTGCTCACCTTATCCGCTGGGTCTTTCAAGACAAGTGAGCCCTTCTCTAGACTGAGAATCCGATCTTGCTTCGCTCCCTGGACTTCCAAAGCCCTGTTGATGCAAGTGGCAGGCTCTAGAAATGCTACGGTATTCTTGTCGAACATCGCGCAGGCACGGTCCAGCAATGAGTGGGCTGGGTCTAGTTCTCCTGAGATTGATAAGCCACCGAGAGCTGTTCTGACCGCTTGCATCCTTTCGTTTCTCTCTGCTTGCGCGATTTTCCTTGGCGCGCTGTCATCAGTCTGCTCCACAGTTTGTCTAAGGGATGCAATGAGGAATGTTTGAGCCTCAAAGGTCAGTCTTTTCAATGTGGCAACTTCTTGCAAAGATGGTTCACGACCCAGCGGTCCTCTCAAGAAGCTGGACACCTCTTCTGAAACCAACGGCTGGTTTGGTTGACCAATTGCAAAGGCTAAGCGAGATAATGTGTTGGCACCCGCGTCGACCACAGCATCAATTACGGGCTTCGCAAGCCCCGTCTCACTGGCCCGAGCTCGAAAATGAGCCTCACTATCGATCATGTTCGACATGGCCGCGCAAAGAAAACAAATCAGAAAGTGAAAACCTGAACGACGCATGTCACAAAGTGTCATACTCAACAGCCCCTGACAATTAAAAAAACAAACTAACAAGAGAATCAAACAAGAACCAACGCGAACAAGTTGAGCTTGCTCTTCTCTGTTTGCTCATCCTTGAGCCTCGCCTGCTCCACTTAGGAACTCAAAACAGGTCTCTGCAGCTTTCTGCAAAACATGGCACACAAAGGTTGAAAATCTCTCTGCAACAGAAAAGAAACTTAGAAGGCAAGAGGAAAAGAACGCGTGTAGTTGTCGAAACCTTGCAGCTTTCTGCTACTTGCCATGTGACTCCAGGCTCCTTTGAGCGACCATAACAGTCCAGCTCTCTGGACAGTGCCCTCTGGCCAAACTCTTTTTCTTTTTCCGCTGCAAACTCAAGTTTGACGATCCTTCTTCCGAACGCGCTCTAAAGCCTTGTCCAGTGCCTCGGTCAAATCTTCGCGGTTTCTGATCCTATCGGGATCCTTTGGAAAACAGATCAAACACTTTGGCATTTTCAAGTGGAAGACTCGGTCAATGAGTGTCATGTTCTTAAAGTTATTCTTGCAGGCAGTCTTCTCTTGCCCAATCCTTGCTTTGTGAAGCAGGCCGCTTTTGCCATGCCTGTAGTAATCCAAACCTGCAGGAACATGCTCAGTGTAGGTGTCAGCCGTGGAAAACCTAGGGGCTAAAGCCTCGGTGGTGGAGCTTTCCGATCCTGAACTCTCACTGTCACTTCCAGACGAGCTATCGACTTGAATGGCTCCTGACTGCACTGTTTGCAACGGGAAAAGAGAGATTTCCTGCGCTGCCTCTTCTGCAGCAGCCACTTCGTCCAGTTGCTCTTTTACACTCACTATCTCTCCATCCTCACATGCTCGCTGCATTGCTTGCTCAGCTGCCGTGTTGCCAGTGTCCTGTGGGACGATCGGCTCAGGGGTGACAAGTCCAGTTCGTCTCTGGACGCTAAAAGGTCGAGGTGTCACGAAGCCTGGAGTCTGCGCTACCAGTCGCCGCTGGTCTGCTATTTCTTCGAAGCCCAAACCTATTCGAATTGCATGTAATAACATCTGCAGCTTTCGGATCGGCCTCACTTGAAGGTGCCTTGCGTACACTACATCACTACCTGTAAGAGCAGAGCAGTGGTGCCCAAGCACCGCCCTTACCTCTTTGTCCATGCCAGCTTTTGCGCACCAAACCAGAAGGGTTGCTTTTAACGAATGACTGCTGAAAGAGTCGCAGTTTGGCGTCCCTTGCAGCAACCCTCTCAGCCACCGCGCCGCCTCGCCTGTTGTCAGAGGTCTGGCTCCGAAGCCGCCACCAAGCTTAGGCGCTGGCATGAGAGGGCCGAGAGGAGTGGCTTCTATGTCGAGGCCTGCTTGCTTGTAAAGGTCTAAAAAACTCTGCACCCACTCGCCTCGGCACACACCTTCGCGTGGGACCACCAGTGGAAGAAACTGTTCTCGCCTCAAGCCTACACTCGATGTCTTGTGCTCTGCTGTATACAAAACTAAGCATCCATTTTTGCCTGGCTCCAATTCTGCATGATGAATGAAGCGCAAATCCGACCATCTTGCACGAGCATACAAGCAGACCAAGAGCGCCCCAGCTCCCAGCCGATCATAAATGCTTTCACTGTTGTCCATGACTTCATGCAGCCTTTGAACATGTTCCACCTCTAAAGGAGGTGCTTGTTTGCTAGGCCCCTTAGTTCTCTTTTCAATTGCACAGAAACCAAGCAATCTCCTCGATTCAAGAACCTCTTCGGTTCCATGGAGCTGGACAGTGAATTTTGCAAATCTCACACTCTCGAGGAAAGATGAAGTAGAAGTAAACCCTCTTCCCACTGAAATGCGAACCTCTCTCAGGTGCAAAAAGAAGGCCCAAACATCAGTTTCGACCAGCGGGAAAGGTTTCACATACTTGCCCTGCGTCTCACACCAATCTTGGTGCCACTTCACAAAGCGCCTGAACGCTGCAGCTCGCTTCAACAGCGTTGATGGGCTCTTTGTTCCGAAGGATGATTTCAAGCTCTCGACTGCTCGATCACCGGATGGGTCCTGCCTTAGCTCTTTGCAAAGGATTTTTCCAAGCCCGGAAGCATTCCAGTCAAGTGACCAAAGATCCAACCACTGTCCACACGCAGTCTCTAACTGATTCTTCTTGTTGGTGAAGTAGTCCAGGTCTTTAATATCTGAAATGACCCTAGAATACACGAAGCAAGCGCTCTCTTGCCCTTGTCTTAGTTGAGGAAAATCACTCTCGTCTCTGCTAGACACTTCAAGCTGCTGCAACGGAACGCCAACAATCTGAGGCAAAGGAACGCTCTGTTGTGGGCCAAATAGGCCCCTGCTCGAATTGTCCTCCCAAGGCAGCAATAAAGCCGGTTCAGTTCTAGTGTATGCCGCACGAGCTGAAATCATTCTCAGTTGCCAAGCCAACGGAGAACTTCGGTCGGCACCTACTTCCAGGGACTGACTTGCAGCCTGGGATTGAGATTTGACTGTAACAAGTGACTGAGGCTCTGTGTCATGAAAATCAAGTATCCGCCGCTCATCCTGGCTGTCGTGTCCGCACTGGCCTGCCAATGGATTCTGACCTGCTTCCACAAAATCTACAAAACTAAACTGATCATCAAAATTCTCTGTGTCAAATGGCTCAATCTCAGGAAATTTATCTGCATCTTCCTCTTGTTCAAGTTCCATCTCATCTCATGGCAAACCCCCCGTCGCAATTTTGCGAGCCAGACTAAAAGGCGGCCCACCCACCCTCCACTCAAGCCAAAAAACAATTCATCACGAGAGAAGATGCCACCCGGATAAGAATATCCTGACATGCTGTCTTGAAAACTGCATCGCTACGCGAGTTTCGTCATCTTTTAAATCCTGCCCCGGCCTTCTGCAGCATCATGCGGTGCCACTTGGCAAACTTCTCTGTGTCACTCTTCGTAGCATCGGCAAAGCAGGTGACAGGCCCTTCGCAAAAGAAGAAGCCGAACATGCCACTAATGTGACCTCCGCATACCTGCAAGTGCAAATGGTGACCATAATTATATTGACACTGCGACTGCAAAATGTTTCTCATGCCTTCACTTCGATAAAGAGTGAATGCAAAGGAGCAAAGTGTCCACTATCCTTGCCTTGTGGCCATTCTCCTTGGCCGCATCCAGGATGCCGTTGATCAGCTTGCCAGTGAGCTTGTCAAGGTACTCATAGCTTCCAGGCTCCTGATTTCACCAACAAAACGCGATGACGCACTGTGCGAACTCTTTGGGGGTGCACCGACTCTTGAACGTGTGCACTTAAACTTCACTGCAGAACCAGGCCTGCAACCTCTTCATGGTCTCAATGCCCGCGGTCATGGCCAAAGGGTTGCCGCTCAAAGTGCCGGCTTGATACATGGGCCCAGCAGGAGCCACCATCTCCATGATGTCCTAGAGCTACGACTGTTGGCTACGACTAATGGACCTAAGGACCCGACACAGCAACACGCGTGATTGCATCTTTGACAAAGAGCTGTCAGTTCTGGTTCCCCTGCAGTCCTTGCGGCCACCGTAAGCACCTACTGGTAGGCCGCCGCCAATGACCTTGCCTAAGCTCCAAGTCGTGCTAGACAGCGTGTTAGTGCCCAAAAGCAATGTTTCCAAACGGCGTAACTCTTTGACAAGGAGTGTTGTGCCCGTGAAAAGCCAAAGAAAAAAAAATGAGCCAGTGTTGAAGTGCCCGGATGCCCATGGTGGTGACATCGGGTGTCACACCAAAGTACTCCTGTGCTCCACCATAAGCAATACGGAAGCCAGTCATGACTTCATCAAAGACCAGCAATGCCCCGTATTTGGTGGTGAGCTCTCTGAGGCCAACCAAGAACTCCTTGGTGGGTGGGATGAAGCCAGAGTTGCCAACCACGGGCTCCAGGATCACGGCAGCCACTTCGTTGTTCTTCAAAAGTTCCTCCACAGACTCCAAGTCGTTGTACTGAGCGCACAAGGTGCTGGTGGTGGCACCCTTGGGCACGCCGGGTGAGTCTGGCAAGCCTAGAGTGGCCACTCCGGAACCAGCCTGAACCAGGAACGCATCACCATGGCCATGGTAGCAACCCTCAAACTTCACCACCACATCACGCTTGGTGAATGCTCTCACAAGCCTCAACATGCCCATGCAGGCCTCAGTGCCGCTGTTGGTGAATCGAACCATCTCAACGGAGGGCACCGCATCAATGACCATTTTGGCCAGCTCGTTCTCGAGAGCGCAAGGAGCTCCAAAAGAGGTGCCTTTCTCCATCTGTTTAGTCAATGCTTTGAGCACCTTGTCATCGGCATGGCCGATGATGGCAGGGCCCCAAGTGCCAACATAGTCAATGTACTGGTTTCCATCCACATCCCAAGCATAGGCACCTTTCACCTTGTCAAAAACCACAGGATTGCCACCCACGGACTTGAAGGCTCGCACAGGGCTTGATACACCACCAGGCATCAGATCTTTGGCTTCTGTGAAAATTTCTTCAGACTTTGAGGTTTCAAAGCCACCACGAGACTTCCTCTGGGTGCGAGAGTGTCTGCTCTTGCCGGTTGCTGCCACCAAGCCAGCTGCGGAGGCCAACACCACTGTTGTGGCGTTGCCAGAGGTGGCGGCTGCCTGCTTGACAGTGTTTGCTCGCAAATGACGCACCGGAGTTTCCGAGGTAGCGGGGGCGGACACAAATGCGTTCAAGGCATGGGAGACAGCACAAGCACCAGCCCCGATAGCGCAGAAAGTTGCAACTTCGGTCTTCATCACAACGAAAGAGGCAACTGGGCAAAAATTCTACGCTGAAGAGTCGCTAGGTCTGAGGCCACACGGCAATCCAATGACCCCGTTGCACGCATTCATACCCACAATTGATCAAACTGAGCTCTCCGCACGCTTGGCTAACCTAAGCGATCAAACTAGAAACATATTACGCCCACAACCCCAAACAACAAAATATATCTGTGGGGAGCGCCCGGCACCAGCACCAAGGCCAGTATCTGGCAGCAACACCCTGCACCATCACCCTGCAACAACACCAGCATCAAAGCTTCAAAGCCCACCCTGCCATTGACATCTGGCGGCAACAACACCCTGCAGCAGCACTCCGCGGCAACACCAGCATCCAAGCTCCAAACCGCACACTGCCAGGGACATCTGGCAGCAACACCCTGTGGCGACACAGGCTCCAAAGCACACACGGACACCCACATCAGCGGCACTCTGTAGCGGCACCAGCACCCACACTCCAGAGCGCACAGGCACCTCGTCCCATGCTCATGTAAGAACCCCATGAAGTAAGAACCCAATAGCTCTTGCCCGGGACAACAGGAATAGTGGGACCTGGCAGCCAGAGGATCAGGGGACAAGACCAAACACAATAGGGAATACAGGACGGACCAAAGAACCAGGGAAGCAGAAGACCAATACTCCCACATGAACTGCGCAAGTCTTGGGCACAGTTGGAAGAGCGGCCAATTTTGCCAACGACGAAAAAAAAGAGAACCGAAGAAGAGACCAAATGAGGGGAACACAGAACCAGCGGATAAGGGAACCAGGCGGCAGCGACTGGGGGACCGCCACACACCAGCGGATGAGGAGACACCCCCTGTTTGGTCCTGTTTTCCTATTTTGCCTGATCCTGCTTCATTCCTTAGATCCACATGGCCACATACTTTCTATTTAGGGGTTGATGATGGTTGATGACCTCTGCCTGGTGACTCTATCAACCAAGCTTCGCAGTCCTGTGCGGGCACCGAAAACATATTGATGTGCACGGCTTGCTCAAATGCACCAAAGGTCCATCAAACCTTAGCCATAGTCCATAGTCAGCTGGGAACCACGAAAGATGAGCCTTCAGCTCTATCGCAAAAGAAGAGAAAACAAAACAATACATCACACTTGGGATTAAGAGCCAGACACCTCTAGGCATGCAAAGGACCATGCAATATTCTGCAACCTGAATCAGTTTGCGCATAGTGTGGATGCCTAGATTGCTCTACATTTACATGCAAAGTTGCGTCAGGTAAAGCTAAGTTCAAAAGGTTTCAAGGTGCCACCGCACTACAGGATGATGCATGCACAAAAGAGTGTGACTCTTGGAATGTTTCGATTCTCAAACCAAGAACCTGCAGGAAGCTCTGAACTGACCAGCTCAGTTCTGTGCTGGCCCAGATTCATCTGCTCCGACCTTGCTCAATTAGCAGTATAATAAGCAAATATATATATATATCGAGTTGCCATAGTCGTTGACTTCCAAAAGCTGTCAGTTAGTTGAAATAGGTGTGAGCACAATACATGCAGAAATATTTGCTCAAATAACGCAAAATCATTCCAAGGCATTGCCAAAATGCCTTCAAGGCAGGGATCCTCCATTGCTTGGTTCATGCGCTAAGAAACGTGTTGCAAATGCATTCAATTCTTGAAGTATTTGCCCATCGTTTTACAAACTACAGTACCCCAGATTCATCCGGAATCTGTCTTTCCCATTCCTTTTGAATGCCGCATCCCTCACCACTCTTTGCAAAGCCTTGAAATGGATACACAGCGGAACTACTAAAAGTGTCGCAATTTCTCACAAATCCAGCAAGCATCAGCAAGCCCTCAAGGCTTTTGGGCCAGAACTGCTGTGTTTTCAACATCACGGTCGGCCAGGAAAATTTCATCGGCCTTTCGGCTCTAAAGAACTCAATTCGTATCCAATTGATCAAACCAACACACAATGCGCCCCGATTCGTGTCAACTGTTTCTGCACCTCAATCCCAAACAAAACATGTTTCAACCCGGAACCTGGGATTGCACGCACGGGTACCTTTTGTTAAAACACCATAGCGTCATAGCCATAGCGTCCATTTGCCTACTTTGTGCTGGAGTGTCTGTCTGTGTGTGTGGGTGAATAATTGAAATGTTTGCTGTGCATGTTCTTGCCTCCAGGTCTTCACAAAACAGAACCAAACGGCCACTTGGGCTTCTTAGCTTGCTGGGACAAAGGATTCTTCGCAAGTTGTGGCAGGGATTCCAGTCACAGCCGTGCAGGAAACAGGCGCTACTGGCTAACACCATTCTCAAGATCTTATGGGTGATCTTTGGGCTGGTGGTTCTGTCTATTTCGATTGCTTCAATCGCTGGGAGTCTGGAAACCCATTGGGATAAAACCATCAGTTTTTCCCTTCTCTCCTGGGATTGTTTTTTGGTTTTCAAGTCCGCAAGATTGAGAGTATATACGTCTTTTGTCGGGGACCGGTGGCTGGTGATTGGTGTCCGGTGGCCAGTGACCGTGGCCGGTGACCGGGCCGGTGACCGGTGGCCGGTGACCGGTGACCGTGGCAGGTGGCCAGTGACCGGTGGCATCACTTTCTTGGGCAACCCGAGGCGAAAATTTAGAATAGGAAGAAGCCATTACAAC